GAACTGTACGGTGTTAACTGATCATAAACCCATCATTTTTGCATTTCAGCAAAATCCTGAAAAAGCATCGGCCAGGCAACTCCGTCATCTGGATTACATAGGTTAGTTTACTACCGATATCAGACATTTTCCCGGTAAAGACAACAGCGTTGCTGATTTCCTGTCACGCATTGAATCAATACAGGGGGAAAAGCAGATTGACTTTGATCAATTAGGAAAGAGCCAAAGAAATGACATGGAGCTGCAACGACTCTTATCACAGGCCAAGACTTCGCTTCAGCTTAAATTGGTGCATCTACCTAGTTCATCGAATTTTATTACGTGCGATTTCTCAATAAAGCATGTGCGACCGTGGATCACAGATGAATTTCGTTCACAAGTTTTTCACACCATACATAACTTAGGTCATCCAGGCAGCAAGGCCACGGCAAAACTGATCAGTGAACGATTTGTCTGGCCAAACATTAAAAGGGATGTAGCAAAAATGGTAAAAACATGTCCACAATGCCAGCGAGCTAAAATAGATAGACACAACAAAACAGTACTCGGAACCTTCAAGGCACCTGACCGGCGATTTGCAGCAGTACACCTTGATATCGTGGGGCCATTACTACCATCAGACGGATACAGCTACTGCCTGACATGCATAGATCGATTTACCCGGTGGCCTGTTGTTATTCCCATTATGGACATTAGTGCAGACACAGTAGCTGCGGCGTTCATCACGGGATGGGTTTCACACTATTGCGTTCCTTCAGAGATCACTACAGATCAAGGGAGGCAGTTCGAATCAAAGTTGTTCGCTGAACTTATGCAGTTGATTGGTACTAAACATCTACGTACAAGTTCGCGACATCCACATTCGAACGGAATTCTGGAACGATTTCATAGAACACTAAAAGCTGCACTGAAGTGTAAGTCTAATCAAAGGTGGACAGAGGAATTACCACTGATATTGCTGGCTTTACAGAGTGTGTTCAAAGACGACATCCAAGCTAGTCCAGCGGAAATGGTATATGGTACATCTCTTAAGCTTCCAGGAGAATTCTTTGAGAAGACGTCTCACATCGGATGTGACTCCGAATTCGCAATTTTTCTTAGGGAGACCATGGATCAATTATGTCCGGTTCCAGGTTCAAATCATGCAAAAGCGAAAACGTTCGTTCAACGAGACCTGCAGACGTGTTCACACGTGTTCCTAAGGGATGATAACGTTCGACCTCCCTTGAAATCACCTTATGACGGACCATACAAAGTGATACGGCGTGATCGTAAGCTTATTACCATTTTAATCAAAGACCGACCTGTCCAAGTGAGCATTGATAGAGTGAAGGCGGCTTACTTGTTGAATGAAGAAATCGAATCAAACACACAGTTGTCACGATATATTTCACTTCAGTCAAGTCCAGATGCACAACCTATACGAAGACCTCAGCAGGAGCTCAACTCTGGTCATAGCGCATCCAGTGGCAGAGTTATTCGATTACCTGTCAGATTTTTGACATAGGATCAAGTACATATAACGTGGCATCGTTTCTACTCAACCACTGGTGGGGGAGTGATGTGGCGCTCATGTGGCATCATCAAAAACAGAAGTTAATAAATCACAAATCAAATAAAAATTTGACAATCCTGTTTCTTAAAACACATACGTTCAAGTTTTAAGTTCGTTGTTATCGAAGCAACATAATTGTTAGTTGAAAAGAAACTTTAAAATAAAATTATTAAAAACTTATATTTTATTGCATTCTTTACTACAAGCTCAATTTTTTTTCTATTGGATTTTTTTTCTTCTACATTGTTTCTTACCATATTACATACTTTTTTGTGAAGTAAATATAACGAATATAAACATTGTAATTCTAAATAATTATTATGAATAACTTGAATTATTGAAGAAAACTATTGATATTATTGATTATGTTGTATATAGCGCAACCAATGTAAACAAAAACAAACAATAAATTATTTTATGTATTTTTGAAAGTGCTTATGCACAAATTATTTTATGTTAACCAATGTAATATGTAATGCGAACCACCGCAATGCAAGTAGAATATTTGGTCATAGCAAGTATACAATTGCTATTTGACACTTTTCTTTTCTGTGCTACTATTCTGCACATGTCGATATGACACACTTGAATGTGCCGCAATTAAAATTATTAGGAAAAATATTGTAAATTATAGTAAAATATTTTGTATAAATAGTTTGGAAAATTGTTAATAAAATTCAGATTTGAAATTGAGCTCAAGCAGCTTACACAAAATTTCTTTTTTTTATTTTTGTCTCGCCATTCTCGGATGCCTACTAATGAGCAGATTTTTTGTTGCTAATTCTAATAAGAAGAAATTTAATAACTTCGTAAAGAATTCTGATCCTGAAGCAATCCAGGAATTAAATTTTAAATAACATAATAAAAGAAAAACACATTTTTTTTTTATATTTTCATTATATGCAATCCTGTCATACAATATAATAATATATTTATGTAAAGTAGTCGGTAGCTGAGGATAAGTACCCGGTAATTGGTTGTCAGAAATACAACAGTGCTTTTTGACGTGCTTGAGCAGAGCCGCAGTTCTTTTCTGGTCGTCTTTGCGTGTGCACGGCGTTTGTGCTTAAATATTTGTATTACTGAATATATTTGCCATTGTGTTTTGAATCTATTAACTTTGTTATATATATATATATATTGGTATTCCATGTCATATGCAAAAATATATTCAAGACGTCATGACTTTTGTGCGCGCGTACGGAAGACCAAATTTATTTATTACATTACACGCGCATATTTTTATTTGGTTGGTCGACAAAATACAGTCTGAAGAAATTGATAAAATTATCTGTTAGAGCGGTTAAAGTCAAATTGTTAATATTGTAGGATTCTGTAGAATTATTATAATTGATGTCTTATATGATTTATATATTATATTTTATTATATTTTAATCTATTGTAAATCACATATTGTATAATTAAATTATTATAATTAATATATTATATAATTCATATATAATATTTATATGGTTAATATATGGTTAATTAATTTATCTAACTAACCCTGTATAAGATGTAATCAAACCAACGGTTCTAATTCTTGTTTTTATTGCCTTTTGTTTTTTGCGCTCGAGATGAGCAATTTTTTGTTATATTTTTTGGCTGCAAGTAAACTCCGTTGGTTTGATTCTGTCTCTTGTTTTTCGATCGCGAACGTGTCAACACACGGGTACACACAAAAAAGTGATTAAACAATCAATAACCGAAATTATATAAAGTCAATTGTATAAATTAAATAAAATCAATTAAAGATCACAAACCCAATTATAAAAACGCTTATAATTCACATTGATTTTATTTAAAGTAATTAAACAATCAATAACCGAAATTATATAAATTCAATTGTATAAATTAAATAAAATCAAATAAAGATCACAAAACCCAATTATAAAAACGCTTATAATTTACATTGGCGACCGTGACAGGACTTTTGGCAAATTGAATAGTGCTATTCTGTGTACTGTCGTACGTATATTATTGTCCAATTGGTGGTTCTCGGTTTAGGTCCGCTAACCTCAAAACAGAACCTCGTGTCCGCATCAAGATCGCGCTCGACAGTTAAATTCACAACAACAAGATATCTTTACTTGTTGATTGTACATACTTTCGCTTTTAATGGTTTTGGTTAATTTGTAACCATTAAAGTGCGCGTGTGAATATTTCTTCTAACCAGTTATATAGCTAACGCGTGCTAACTATTATAATATATCGTACATCTATATATATACTACATATGTACTATCGTACGTATATACTATTGTCCAATTGGTGGTTCTCGGTTTAGGTCCGCTAACCTCAAAACAGAACCTCGTGTCCGCATCAAGATCGCGCTCGACAGTTAAATTCACAACAACAAGATATCTTTACTTGTTGATTGTACATACTTTCGCTTTTATTGTTTTTGGTTAATTTGTAACCATTAAAGTGCGCGTGTGAATATTTCTTCTAACCAGTTATATAGCTAACGCGTGCTAACTATTATAATATATCGTACGTCTATATATATACTACATATGTACTATCGTACGTATATACTATTGTCCAATTGGTGGTTCTCGGTTTAGGTCCGCTAACCTCAAAATAGAACCTCGTGTCCGCATCAAGATCGCGCTCGACAGTTAAATTCACAACAACAAGATACCTTTACTTGTTGATTGTACATACTTTCGCTTTTATTGTTTTTGGTTAATTTGTAACTATAATGTGCGCGTGTGAGTATTGCTCCTAAACAGTTATATATCTAACGTGTGTTAACCATAATAATATCGTATATCTATACTACATACTATCGTACGTGTGTACTAGTGTGCATTCTATGGTTCTTGGCTTCGGTTCCGCTAAGCGCCAAATAGAACCTCGTGGCTGCATCAAGGTCGCGTTCAACAATTACAACAACAACAAGATAACTTTACTTGTTGATTACTGGTTATTATTTGCTTCCAATCAGTTAGTGTGCGGGTTCGTCAACGTCGCGTCTGACAACAACCACCGTAAGAGCAGTTCAATTTCGTAAAGTTCGCTGCTGCTATTGTGAGTTTTCGACTTCGTCAAATCCTTTGCTGTTCCCAGGTATCTACAACTGTTCCAATGGCAACGGCAGAGCCAACCACTACGGCAGAACTGTCAGAACTAAAACAACAGCGAGCCTCGACGAAAGCGAGCATTTCAAGGATCAAGGCGTTCGTCAAAGGAAAGAGCAATTCGCTTTCACAACCAGAACTGAAATGTCGACTAGGTATTTTAGAATCATATTTTAAACAAATCCTAGCTTTTCAGACTTTGATCGAGAAATTAGATGCAACTGACACAGCTAGAGATGAATTAGAAGACCTATACGTTTCCACCAAAATATTAATCATGTCTCAACTGCAGGAAGAGGCCCACAATGCGTCAGTGCTAGATGTAACAGCAATGATGCCCACCTCAAGTAAAAAATTACCACTGTTAAAATTACCTACATTCAGTGGTAAGTACTCGGATTATAACAATTTTATTAATTCGTTTCTCCAAATCATAGATCGCGAAATATACCTCACAAATATTGAAAAATTTAACCACTTATTGAACTGCCTTACTGGTCAAGCTCTAGAGACAGTACAGGCATTTCCTATTTCGAATGAAAACTATCCAAAGGCTTTGGATAGGCTTAAATCGCGCTATGACAATAATAGTCTAATCTTCGCCGAAAATATCGCGACACTATTTGATCTACCAGCAGTATCGGGTCAGTCAAGCCAACAACTCCGTAGTCTGGTAAACAATGCATCCGCTTTGTATGGTCCACTCTGTTCGCTAGGTACAGAGAAACAAATATGTGAGGCTCTACTTATCTCGCTAATCATGGAAAAAACGGACGCAATTACACGTAGGAAATGGAATGAATCGCGTAACTTTGACACATTACCCAGTTGGGAGGATTGCTCAAAATTGTTGGATAGGCATTGCCAGTTTCTCGAATCACTTGACAGTGGAAACGGCAATCAGTCATCATCACAACGTAAACCTAATAGTCTTAACTCCAAGACTAACAGACGCTCAAAACAATACGCATTTGTTGCATCTACATCTAGCAATTCTTGCTCATTTTGTTCTAGCAATGAACACCTAATACAGAATTGTCATCGTTTTAAGGCACTGGAGGTGGTTCAAAGGTTTGAAAAGGTGAAGGGCCTTAAACTCTGCATAAACTGCTTATCGCGACGCCATCATGTGGTTAATTGTACATCAACGTTTAAATGTAAGGTTTGCGCAAAGCCACATCACACTCTCTTGCATCATTCGCAATTGCCAACGAATATTAAGAGCGCGGGATCATCACGACGCACAGAACACGCTGCTATGCCCAACGACAATGTTGCCAGCCATTCCCATCTTAATATGTCATCGGCCGAGCAAATAATTCTTGCCACTGCATTGGTTTTAGTGAAGGATTCATCGGGAAGTTATCAAGTGGGTAGAGCCTTACTTGATTCATGCTCTCAGGTCAATTTCATAACGTAGGAGTTTTCAAAGAAGCTTAGTTTATCAAAACATAAACATCGGTTGCATGTTTCCAGTATTGGTAGTTCGTTGACCAATATTAAGTATCAGACGTTCACATCAATCAAATCTCGTCATTCAAATTTTGAACTTGCTTTAAACTTTGGTATTACGAATCACATCGCATATCAACCAAGTTCTGAAATCGATATATCGTCGTGGAAGGTTCCATCCAATACACCTCTCGCCGATGAGCAATTCTTTAAATCCAAGCGCGTTGATCTTTTGCTTGGAGCTGAAAGTTTCTTTGATATTTTGTCTGTCGGTCAAATCAAACTAGGTGAAAATCTTCCAGTACTTCAAAAAACACTATTAGGATGGATTGTATCTGGCAAGTACAAGGGTCAGCCATTTGCATCACCAGCAGCAAAATGCCTATTATCAGTTGAAGATACAGTTTCCGATCAATTAGAAATGATGTGGAAGATAGAGGAAGTGCAATCGGCTTCAAAGTCATGGTCACCAGCACATGTTGCGTGTGAGTCATTATATCGTGAAACGGTTCACCAAAATGCGATGGGAAGAATTGTCGTTCGGTTATCATTCAAGGATTCGCCAGATTGTCTTGGTTTGACACACAATATCGCCTTGCGCCGTTTTTGTTCTGTAGAACGGCGCTTGTCATCTAATCGTGCACTGAAGCAAGATTATCAAGAATTCATGAAACAATATCGAGAGCTCGGACACATGACGCGTGTTGAGACTCCGAAAACCAACGAACCTCATTATTATATCCCTCATCATTGTGTTTTAAAACCGTCGAGCACTTCGACCAAGCTGAGGGTGGTTTTTGATGCGTCATGTCCAACAACTTCGCAACGTTCATTAAATGATATTCTACTGGTCGGCCCGACAATTCAGTCGGAGTTATATTTGTTGCTACTTCAATTTCGTTTGCACCGATATGCCTTGACGGCTGACATTGTTAAGATGTACCGACAGATACTGATAGATGAACCAGATCGAAAATTCCAATATATTTTTTGGCGAGATACGGAGTCCGATCCTGTTAGTACTTACGAGTTGAATACAGTCACTTATGGTACTGCATCAGCACCTTTTTTAGCAACCAGGAGTTTGCAGTATTTGGCGGACAAATTTGAAACACAATACCCAATAGGCGCTGCACTCATTAAATCATCGTTCTTTGTCGACGACTTCTTAGGTGGAGCGGATTCCATTGATCAACTCACCAATATCAGACATCAGTTAACGGCCATTCTACAGAAGGGTTGCTTCGATCTTGACAAATGGCATTCAAACCATCATGACTTCATCAGCGATACTACAACAAAGAGTTTGAATCTTGATACAGATACAGTCACCAGCGCTCTAGGCATCAAGTGGCACCAAATGCAAGATGTTTTCCTATTTTCGTTTAATGCGCAACCAGGTCATATTGTAACAAAACGCACCATTTTATCCCTTGCGTCTTCATTATTCGACCCGCTTGGATTACTAGCACCGATCATACTCGTAGCCAAAATTATGATGCAAGAATTGTGGCTTTTGCGTGTGGACTGGGACGAGTCAGTCCCTCAAAATCTTCACTCAGCTTGGAAAACATTTATTCAAGATCTTACAACGCTTTCATCGGTTAAGGTGCCGAGGTACTGCCTATCCATAAACTATCAACAGGTTGATGTACACGGTTTCTGTGACGCTTCAATACGCGCATATGGTTGCTGTATATTTCTCCGATCACAAAACACATCAGGTAAGGTGACGGTCAGGCTATTTACTGCAAAATCCCGTGTGGCACCTATAAAGCGGAAGTCGCTACCTAAACTAGAACTCTGTGGTGCCTTACTTCTTGCCAAACTGTATCAGAAGGTCCAACCAATATTTGCGCAATTTAAGGGTGAAACGTTTTTTTGGACTGATTCACAGATTGTATTACATTGGTTGAAGCAGCACTCATCAACCCTGTCTGCATTCGTTGGCAATCGAGTAGCGGAAATTCAAGATATTACCGCAAATGGGCAATGGAGACACGTTCCTACCCAATCCAACCCGGCAGATGTTGTGTCGCGCGGCTGTAACATCCGCCAATTATCAGAGTCTTGTTGGTTTACGGGGCCGGAATTTTTGTTACTCGCTGATAAATACTGGCCGCATTTGAAATGTCACAACCTGGATATGGAAGAAGTCAATAAAGAGACGCGGAAGGTTGTATTCGTTAACACAAATGAAGACAACTACGTATTACAGGTATTGTCAAGATATAGTTCATACACTAAGATGCTACGAGTAATAGCGCAGGTACAGCGTTTTTATCATGTAACCAAGAATAAATTGAAGAACGGAGAATGTACCCTCCAACCTATTCAGCTACAAAAGGCATTGCACTGTATTATTTGGGTCATCCAACAGCAATTCTTCGAAATTGATATACAACGCCTACAACGAGGGAACCCAGCCGAAGGTACATTAAAGCATCTAAATCCCTTCCTGGACAATGTATTCGGTTATCAATTACTAAAGGTGGGAGGTCGCCTCGAGCTGAGTGACATCTCAGTAGGCCAACGTCACCCTATTTTGTTGCCGAAGGGCTGTTATTTTGTGGAACTTTATGTTCGGCATATACACTTGTGCAACTATCATGCAGGCGCAAAAGCACTAATTGCCCTTACTCGACTAAACTTCTGGATAATTAATATTCGAGAAATTGCACGCCGAGTCGTGCACTCGTGTATTCACTGCGTGCGTTATAAACCCAAACTACTTAATCAAATGATGGGTAATCTCCCAATCGAACGCCTCACTCCAAG